TCTTTCCCTTCTAGCTAGTCTTTTTTCTAGGCAGCAGTTCACCTTTGCATCCCCACCCTGTAAATCATCATCTGATCTCCCAGTGGCCCTTTTTCACCTCACAAGCTTCACGGGAAACTGTAGCTTCAAATGAAGCTGTAGGCATTTTCTTAAATCTTGCTTATCTGGATTTAAGGGAGCTCTTCTGTTTTTGTTGTTGTTGTTGTTGTTGTTTGTTTGTTTGTTTGTTTTCTTTGTTTGTTTGAGCAGATTAACTATTTTTACCTTGTCCTAGGAACTGGCAGGTTCATCTCCCATTCTTATTTCAACCCAAGCTGCCCACTCTTACCTGCAGAGCTTCAATTGTGTCTAACATGCACAGGGTGGTAGCCTCATGTAGGTGGGGGCAGTGCTTCCTGAGCGCCTCACCACTTTTAGTAGCAGCTTTATGTGAACAAAGGAGAAACTACCCAGTGAATGTGGTCAGCTACCTTCTAATGACTGGGAATCAAGTGCTGAAGTCCAGACACTTTTTAAAGGAACTTCCTTTTAGAGATGATATTAAAAAGAAAGGGAAAAATGTCTGCAGGTCAGAGCCCAGTGCAGTAAACTCTATGAACATTCCCTTTCCTTGCTTTTATTCTGATATAAGAATCTTTATTTGCTGGGTAGGTGTGAATCTTTGGGAACTGTTAATTTTAAGTGGTGTTTCTAGAAAATATGCAAACTCAGGGCAGTGTTCTGCTCAGCAGGCTTGTTAAGGCTGAATCTTCCCTGTGTGTGTTACACTCTCCAGCCCAGTGTCTGGTTAGGAAGCCCTTTCACTCTATGGCTCATCATGCCTCCTGCCTAGATGTTATTCCCAAAGTGGGACTTTATTTTATTTATTTTTATTTTTTTTAAGGCAGAAAAGGCCTCGTGATGGGGCTGGACCTCAGAGCACTGGAGAAGCCGTGTGTACAAATAGGAGCAGGGCAGGAGAGGCGGCACGTGAGAGACTGTGCCCGTGCCGCCCGCTTGCAGCCAAGCGCCTTGCGCGGCAGAGCGCGAGGGCTTCTCCTCCGGAGGTCGAGCTGCGCTCCTTGAGCTGGAGCCTTCGCGCCTCTGTGTGCCCTGCGCCGGTCCCTCCCAAGGCCTCATGCCCAGCAGGGTGGGTTTAGCTCCTTCAGGAAGCTTTGAGGTTGGGAAGCAAAGGATAGGAGCTGCCTGATTTGGAGCAGTTATAGTAAATACAATGTCATAATTTATCATTTGAATTTGTAGCCACAGCTCCTGTTTGAGGGCAGTGTGATTTAATAAGCAATTTACTGTGCTGTATTTACTGAAATTGCTATGTCATGCCTCCAGTTTTTATGAAGGCTCCAATTACATTTGTAACAGTTAAACTGCATGTGCAGTTAGGAGCTGAATACTGAGGGCTTCTTTTCTTTTAACTCAGCAGGCTCTGACACAATGCAGTAATGTTGCTGCCGTGTCCAGATCTGATTTAGATAATTACAGTATGTTCTTCCTTGCACCTTTTGAGCTTTATCAGCAGAAACAGAGCTTGCATGACACTCGGGCTGCTCACATTAATGAGCAAACCAAAGGTAAAGCACCCTGGATTAGCAAGGGGCATTTGCATCCATGTGAAACACACCAAGAATTTCCATTTCTGCTACTGTAACGTAGTAGGGACAGCAGAGTTCAGAGTCACGTGTGACGGTGCGACTGCCATGCACTGCTTTGGATGAGAGCGGTGTGGAGCAGGGCAGGAGCTGCCCCTTGCTAACGTGGCTTTGCCTAAATGCAGCTGGTGTGACAGCAGGGCCAGCCCTGGGCCAAAGGCAGCACCATTTTGGTGACTTACTTTGGGACCTGTGAAAGCTCGACTCTGACTGGCTGTACTTTATTTTTCCAGTGGGCCTCACCTTTTCTAAGCATGTTGTGCTCTAGCATCAATCTATTCCAGTTGTTATGTGCTCAGCCGGAAGCCTCTTATTTATGAATAGGAGCATTACTTGCAGTCTCAAATAGGTAGGTACTTAAAGAGGGGGTTGTTGCTGACTGTGCAAATCTTCTTTTTGTTCATTGATTATAATAGGTTTTTTTGTGTGTGTGGCAGCTGGATTAAATTAAGACCGAAGTCTCTGGGCTAGAAGCCCTGATGGGACTTTTGTGCAAAGGCTGCATTTTGCAACCAAGTAACTTTGGCTGGGGCTGTAGCAGCAAGCCCGCAGATGCTGTGAACGACCTACCTGCAAACTTTTATTTTGGATGAAGCCAATTGCAAAGCAGCTGTATTTTATTGCAGCCCATTTTAAAAATAACTACCTTGGATTTAGGCCAAAAGAATAACGTGGATGAGTTAAATGCAAGGCCTGTCTCTGTGGCTGGTGCTTGGACACGCTGCCCGCCCTTCTTCTGAGGAGGCAGCAGCTCCTGCTCGCCCTGCTCACAGCTGCTGCTTTGGCCGAGGGCTCGCGCCTCTCGGGCTGTCCTTGGCCAAAGGAGCTGCCAGCTCCGAGCAGCAGCAGAGCTGAAACCAGCTGTCCTGCAGTTAAAACTCCAGGATAACAATGTGAAGCTCCGAGGTGGGAAAATCCCAGCTTCTAAAAGCAACCTGAAAATGTGACCTCTGAAGCTTCAGAAATAAGACCATAAACTTGCTGATGGTTACGTGCTTAGCGGCTTGGGTGCTTGGGGCAGTGAAGGCTGTGGCTGGTGCCTCAGGAGAATGCGGCTTACTCTTTACACTAAGCATTTGCCAACAGAGGGGTCATTCCCAAGCATGAAACTTGGTCAGAGGCGCCTTTGTTAGGATTAGTGTGCAGGCCCTGCAGCTGGCAAGACTGAGCTCTTCTCCAGGCTCCAGGGGCCACGGCAATGGGTGCTTCCTGTCACTGGTGGTGCTGGGCTGCTGCGGTTGCACAGGGTCTGGCGTGGAGGTCATCTGGCTTTTGGGGGAGAAGGCAGCAGGTGTGGAGCCGCAAGGGGCAGGTCCTTCTTTGGTCACAGGTACCCAGCTGCTGTAAAAGGCTGCGAGCTGCCTGTGTGCCCTGCTGGAGGCTGTACAGACTGTGGACAGCTCAGTACCTATAGGGAGGACTCCGTAGTACTCCTTACTGACGTAGTACTCACGCACTAGTATGCTGCCCATTAACCCC